AACTAATTTGCATATTGTACACATGTAGGACATCTTTTTACTTCAGTCACAATAATGCATGCAAGTTTGTTTTTTGTAACAAATTTTGTAAATTTGCTCATGCTACCTAGTTTCAAGAGAGCCTTTTTTGAACATCTGCAATAACTCACCTCTTGTTAATTAATAGTTCTAGTGCATGCATATGGTTTATACAGGTAAGTAAACATGCAATTTTTTCACATTCTAAAACTATGGCAGTTTAAGCCATATTGTGCTGCCTGCATTTAATCTGTAATGCAGTGTGTCTTAAACGTTTCAATCCCGTATTAATAGGTGGCATTACACATAACACCTATATAGCAGCAAAGCTAATACAGCTTGTGATTAAAAATGTTTAAAAATAGCTAATAAATCAGATTATCTTGAGGTATTATTTCTTGCAAGTCAAAATGGAGAGCAAAAAATCAACCCTAATTTTTAGTTTATGTATACACTGAAAATAGCAACAACAATAAAAATAAGCTTTTTGTAGCAGACATATTCCATCTTCACTATTTTGCTACCTTTGGTAAATTACTGGGGCAGATCTTGAAGTTAAAAACCCATGTTTAGAAATAAGTGCACGCTTCACCCACTAAATATAGCAGCAGACTGTGTGCCCCTACGCAAAAACATTCTCATATCTAGTTTTAACTTTACATATAAAAATAACTTGGAGAAAATACAAAAAAACATTTTATTTTAACATGAAAATATCACAAAAATTAGTAAGCCTGAGATGTAGGGTTTTGGTGAAAAACAAGAGGCTTGTAGTGTTTTGGCTGCTGATAAAGATGCATGTATTGATAGCTGGGGTGAAAAGCAGAAGAATGCACTTATTTCTTCTGCATGTCAGTATCTTCAAACACAGTAAGCCACATGCACCCTTCTTTCCTTATGTAGATGCTGGTTCACCATGTTTAATTCCAGCGGAAGTGGATCTGACGTGGGCGGTCAGCCCCCTCCTTTACCAATGGCTTATGGAATTCACGTCCTGCACGGGAGTGGATATTTGCCCAACAAAACTCACAGTAATACTGCAGGCAAGTGACATTGGCACAGAAGAAAGGAGCAAACTTTCCACCACATCGTGCGCCCTGGCATTCGTCACACATCTGGTCATCCAACACATATGGCTTTACCTCCACCTGTTGGAGTGAGACACAAAGAATTCCAGTTAACACACCTATTATTCTCACTGAAAAGATACATGAGTGTGTTCAGGTTTTCTCTCTTCCGGAAAAAAAAAGAGTAGTCTGACATCAGGTATGTTTACGTCTCTACCCAATTCACTGCTTTTTATTACTGTTTACCATTTACCAGTTCCCGATATATCCATACAAAAAGCTAAACAATTCAACACAGATCTTCAAAGTGCATTAAATATGTAACTAATGGCTACATCAGAACCCCCAGTTAACTTACTCTGGAAAGATACCCTTGGCAAATGATAAAGCCAAACTATGTGTAGAAAATAAACCACTGGTCCCAAAGCTCTCTGAAGAAATCTCACCAGCTCCCAAATACACCCCAACACAATACCCAGTTTTGTACTCCTTAGCAAATTACACACTTACAAGAATGTAACCATTTATACCTGAGCAAGAAGTCTCTGCATGTACTACCTTCCTTTGCCAATTAGAAGCACTTTCTGCAGGCTTGATTACTTCTTAACTCCCGTGACTTCACTCCAAATTTCTAAAACACCACCAAATTAGGAGAGTTTCTGATCTGGGTCACATATTACTTTCCTTTATTTAATTTCTTTTTATTTTTTAGCTTTGAGTTGCACAGGAATTTGTGTTCAATATGATCCTGAATGTATTTTTAAAAGATCGTTCTGCAAATCTACAGCCTGCTAGAAACACCTGTGTTACACAGCTTCTTTCTCCCAAACTGCTCTGACTGCCAGAGTGGAAAAGTGGCAGGATTCCAGTGGTACATTTGCACAATGTCTCTGCATCACTGAACTGTTACAGACTGCACTCAGACAGGAAGAAGAACTTCACAATAAAGCACAAAATGAATTGACACCATCATTAAGGAATGCATTGTTGTCTTCCTTTCCTTATTTTTTTTTTTTTAAGACAGTATTTTCAAACTTTTGTTGTCAAAAACAATTATTCCGATTTATCCTATAACTCAAGTTTTTTTTTTTCCTGATATTTACTGCTACTTGAGAAGAATCCTACACACAGACTGACCTCATGTACCACACTCAAACAGAGTATGTTTGGAATACTAAGATCTCCAGAATGAAATGAAATATTTGCATGTTATTTCCAGAGCTACAAAATAAAAGCCAGGCTGTATGTGGCTCTGTGCAGCCTGGTCTGGTGGCTGGCAACCCTGCACACAGCAGGGGGGCCAAAACTAGATGATCTTTGAGGTCTTTCTCAACCCAGGCCATTCTACAGTTCCATAAAGCTACCAAACACCCAATGGTTTGCAAAAAAAAAAAAAAACCACAAAAAAACCCAAAAAAAACAGTATTGATTTTCTTAGCTTCAGAAAATGCATACTTGAGTGGTCAGACACACATACATTTGAAACACAGTATGCTTCTTTCTTCCAACAGTGTACATTCAGTATGAGCTCCACTGATTTCTTCCCTGCAATGACCTGCATCAGCACAAGTTACACTTGGGCTTTCCAATAAACAGCAACTTTATGCAGTAATTCTGTTTGTGGTCCAACATTACTGAAAGCATGAAATACCATACTTCCATGCTTTGGTGCGTTGATGCACCAAGATAAGTATTAAGGAGATTACAAACGTTATTAGATAAACATTTTAGGGAACTGAAGTATCACATGAAGTGGATGGAGAATGCTGGCATATGAAAGTTAACAACATTTTAAAGAATTTTTGGAGATGGAACTCATCAAATGAGTTTCAAAGAAATGTTTGGAACTGATCTGTCTTATATGATGGAATAGCATGAAGAGCACTTTGCAGAAGAAAAACATCTGCTGGAGAAACTAAACATATCCCTATCAAAAGAACTAAAGAAAGCTCCAGAGGTAAGGAAGAAGTTAAGGTCACAGACAGTGTCTGTAAAGCCACAATGACACCAAGTTTTCCTATTAAGATAGGAAAAGATATATGTTAAAAATGCCATAAATACTTTCAACAGCAGTTCAGACGGATAAAGTGGAGAACAGCAAACTTTAACCGTGAAAGTAAAAGACACAGAACTTGTTATGAAAATATGTGAAAAGACAGCACACCTACAGAAACTGGCTATAACTGGCAACAGAAAGACTAGTAAGATGAAGCACAGAACAGTCTCTAAGACTGTACAAAAATGTGTAATGAATTGCTAAATAGGCCAGCATGTATTTGTATCTCAGATGAAGGCAGTACCTGAAGTACAACTGTCCTCCACATGTATAAAATCAGCATTTATATTAATGTAAATGACTCGGTTGTGTACTTATGTTTTACTATATAAATAATAACAGGACTGAACACACGATTTAAATATAGAGAAAGTTATTAAAAAAAATGAGATTAAAAACCTCTGGCACATGAACAGAACAGATCATAAACCCTCTCCATCATGATAAGCTTAAAAGACAAATTTATTAAAAATATTTAGATTTGGCATCACCGTGTTTTGGAAGTAGAGCACCACAGGAGCAGCAGATGTTTTTGAAGAAATCAGACCCAAGGAAGCTAACAGACATGCCCAAGAAGAAATCATTTAACTGCTATCTGTGTAAATTAAGTCTCATGGATATCACTCAAACACTGTGCTTCTGAGCTTTGGTATTTATGGCAGACTGTGCTGATTTTTTTTTTCTGTCCATGCTCCAAGAGGTCTGCAGCAGATGCCCACTGTTTCATTGGAATTTCACTCTCCATATTTCTTTAAGTTTTTCAGAGTTCCACAATATAAAAAAAAAAAAGTTCAATTACCTCTGCAAAGAGTAAGCACTGTCATTTCAGAAGCCTGCTCAGCATCCAAATGGCCCTTGAGATTTCCTGTGAGCTATCATCACAGGCATTTTTCCTGTTATGTAACTAGAGGGAAGTCAGAACTTCTAGCCAAAGTCAGCTGCAAGTTACAGGAACAGCAATGTCACCAGCAAAATGTAGCTGTAAGGACTGTATGTGAAGACTAGTTCACCACCCACATTCATTCCCACTCGTCTCCTGGAGAGGACTCTGGAGATTTCAGCTCCCCACGCAACTGGTATCTGAGAGACACGTAAACCTGTATTGCTTTGTCTATTTGAAAGGAGAGAAGCACCTGCTATGGCCTTCAGTTAACTGTACCAATTTCTTTCTGCAATGTCTTTGACCTGTAGAGGAGATTGGACCTTGAACTACTTACTCGTTTCTCCTCTAAGACATTAAAAAAAGAACCCATAACAAAAACCAACCCAGAGCACCTATTAATAACAGTATCTGCATCTACAACTCTTGACATCAGAACTAGTCAACTTCAAACTGTTCTAATTTAAGTCAGTTTTCTTTGCTACTCTCATACTTCTAATTGAGAGCAATGAAGTAGACTTGTCTTCTGAAAAGTTAGCTTTGCTTTAGCTAGCAAAAATCATCTACAGCAACCAGAAAGGTACACTGGTAAATACACAGAATCAGATTCTCTCTGAATGGAAAGGATGAGTTAAGGTTAAGTATGGTTGGTTTTCCAAAGCACTGACAGCCATGGTTGAAGTTAAAGGCAGAGGAAAATTAGACCTATTCTGAAACCAATACATAACAGAGTTTCCCATGAATGACAGAGGAATTATTACAATATTTGCTTTCATTAGAACAAGGGTGAAAAAAATTTCAACAAAACCAGGAATTCCAGAATGGAAAGAACATATGGTCTAACATATGCCCAAGGAACAAACTGCTGCTTTGTGGAATGCTCCTTGTTTCAGGGGCATTCACAGTTTAACTCCTGGAACCTGTAGAGCTAGAGAAATATCAGAAGAAATGTCAGAGCTGGCACAAAAGCGGATCAGAACACAAAGTTATGCATCCTAAGAACTTGTGTTATAAATCACTGCTCCCACATATGTAAAAAAACCCACCCAAATAAACTCATTCTGTGTGACTTACTCGTTTATCTATATCGCCATGCTGAAGTTGAACAAACCGAGCACTGATGGCAGCAATGTAACTCTGCTGATTGGAAAAAGCAACACGTCCAGCACCTTTTGGGTATTTCAGCTCAGGGTCAGTATCAATTCCTGCGTAACAAACTCCACCATACAGACGGTCCATGATCATTGCCAATTCCACTATTAGGAAACAAAACAATGTTCACTTGAACTGTTCTCACTGTACAAACTCAAAAAATCCAGAAAAGTTAATTTTAATAATTAATTCTCCAACAACTTATGTAACTGTAATAAAAAAAAAATAAATCACAACACGTAGAATTAAGTTGTGAAATAGTCAACATACACATCTTTCACACTGTAGCCACATACACCCAGGGAACAATGGAGCTGCAAGTCCTTGCAGTCCTTAGTAACCTGGAACTGAAATTCAAGGGCAGTTTTCCATAAGGGATAATAGATGACTTTTTGGGCAGGATGGAATGCAAGCTGCATAGAATCCACATGCCCCAAATTCCTTGATACATGTTCTCTGTCTGTACAATTGCTCCATGTCCAACTTGAATTTCAAGATGTAGTTAGCATCTTTTCACCAGGCATGCAGAGCTTGATCATCTCTACAGTATGGCACTATATAGAAACTCAAGTTCATAGAATCAATAATCTCCAATTTCACAATAAATATTTTAGCAAACCTCTAGTAGTATTTTATACTGAATTCAATTTAGCAATTCACTGAGGTGGAATATATCTTTTTCAAAACAAATATCCACTGCCTGAAGACATAAAGGTGTCAGCAGACATTGATTTTCAATAGTTGTCTGAAAAGCGTGATCAAGTTTTACTGCTTTTTTGAAGGCATGATTCTTATTTCACAGTGCCATAGAAGTTTCATTTTCACACATGCAGAAGATTTTAAAGCGAAGTATTAGACTGTATACATTAAATTTATCACAGACCCTTAGCAAAGTAATCTGGAGTATCAGGCCAGAATTTGGAGAAAATTAACCTGCAGTTGGAATGCTCATTTACAAAGTATTACAGAGTAATGCAGTCAAACATCATCTTAAAAATAAAATAACAAAAAAGCTTGATTGTTGTATGTCCAAGATAGAAGAGTTTTATATGCTGTATACCCCAAATTTGTTCTATCACTTCCTGTTTCTCCTGTGTCTTCCACATGAAAGCTCACCTTAGTGTAATGATATAATTTAGTACAAACAGTGGAAGACTAATGAAGTCCTGAGACTTTCTAAGAGAAATCTGGATTTGAAATGCTGTACATAATGCTTCCCATCAACTCACTAGAAGGGCACTGTAAAACATTGTAAAATGCTACTGCAGTCTATCTCATAAAGCAGACTGTCCTGGTTGCAGATCAACCATTTTACAGCTACAGAAACATTGAAATTTTCCTCCATGCATTCCAAGAAGAGCTGAGAAAGTGTCCTGCAATCTCATATACCACTGTATCATACAGACTGTGGTAGCTGTCTGAATTTCTCCCCATTTTCCTCTAATCATACTTACTACCTGCATTTCTCCTCATCCATGTTGTCCACAGTAACTGCAACCAGTCAGCAATAGAAAAGTAGCTAATGTGCAGTAACAATACAAAAAGAGCTCCACTCATGGAGCAAAGAAGAGGCCATAGCATTATTTTGAAAACAAGAAACAGCAGTTTTACTAGTCAGATGAAAGTACTTTCTACAGCTTTAGGCGCTGTAATAGTTTTCAGCGTATCTCAGAGGTGAACAGTGATTTGTGATCTACCAAAAGCAGAAGGCGGCAATTACCAGAGAAACATAAGAATAGATGAGTATTTTTTTCAAGCAGCAAGCTGGCTGCACTGATTAGCAGAGCTTTAAACTAGATTTGATGAGGGAAGACTATGTACTTCCAAGTGACAGAGAAAGGTTGTTGAACAGTGTCATTTTAAGAAGCAGCAGTGAAAAACCTCAGCTTCCTCCCAAAGGAATTTGGGATGGCTCCTCTAAGAAGGTAATGCAACCCACTGCATAGCTGTAGCATCTCTATACCAAGGCATGAAGCATGGGAAATAAACAGGAGCTGGAAGCCATGTCATAATTGGAAGATTATGCTCTGACTGATATCAGAAATGTTGTGGGATGAACTGCACACCAGAAACAATGCAATTGAGCTTTTTGAAAGAGATAGACAGGGCAGGATGGGCAGAGGAGTTGCCCTCTATGGTAAGAAGTGGACAGATTAAGAAAAGCTGCCTTTAAGAAACAGTGATGATCAGGCTGAGAACTTGTGGATTAAAATTAGGGATCAGACGAATGAAGGACATCTGGTGGCCGGGGTCTTCTGCAGGCTGCCTGATCAAGGGGAACCTGCTGACAAAGCCTTTTTGCTTCATCTACAAGGTCTGTCACACTCACAGGCTCTCATCAAAAACCCAACTGTGTAACCTACTCATGGAAACCTGCTTTAGCAGGGGAGGGACTAGATGATCCCCAAAGGTCCCTTCCCAATCCCTAAGATTTGCAGCCAGATGGTTGTAGTCAATTGCTGTATATCTAGGTGGAGGCTGGTGATGAGTGGTTTACCCACAGTGTCCACCCTGGGACCAGTGCTCTTCAACACCTGTATCCATGACCTAGACAGTGGACACTTGCACCCCCAGTAAGTGACACTAAGTTAAGTGGTGCAGTTGATACAACAGACGGAAGGGATGCCATCCAAAAGAGACTTGGACATGCTTGAAGAGTGGGCCCAAGTGAACTGAATTAGGTTCAACAAGACCACATGCAAGGTGCTGCACCTTGGCTGGGGCAATCCAATCTCATGGGAGATCTCTTTGTAGCCTTCCTGTACTTAAAAAGTTTATAAACTGGAGCGAGACCAGTTTTGCATGGTCTGATAGTGACAGGACTAGGGGAAACAACTTTAAACTAAGGGGGGATTCGGGTTAGATGTTAGGAAGAAATTCTTTACCCAGAAGGTGGTGAGGCACTGGAACGGGCTGTCCAGACAGCCCATGGATGTGCCATCTCTGCAGGTGTTCCAAGGCAAACTTGGATGGGGCCAATAGCAACTTGATCACGTGGAAGGCAATCTTGTCCAGGGCAGGAGAGATGGAGCTAGCTGATCCTTAAGATTGCTTCCAACTTCATGATTCATATGATTCTATGAACACCTACAACTATCCATACATATCTGTATACAATTATGCACGATTAAAATGATTTCTAATAATCTCCCACTTTTAAAGAGAGACATAATTTATACTCACCAGCTCTTAATGGTCTAGGGACTCCTCCAACAAAAATTGTTTTTCGAGGATCAAGCGGCTGGGAACCATCCATCACAAAGTCACTATCACTTAGATTCCAGGGACGGATCTGAACCTATTAAAAAGGGGAAGAAAATGACATGCTAGTTTCAGTTTTGCTGCATTCTAAAAATATACTTATCAGCCCATATAATCCAACAATAGTCATAACCCTATTAGCTTTGCGTGTCTTGATGTTCCTTTTTAATCCTATTAATTCAAACCTCAATGGTTTTAAAATCATCTGATTGTTCCAGATGTTGAGAGCTGCCAATGGTAGTTTGCTGTTGATTATTTTCATCATCATCATTTTAAATGCAGCTTTAGACAGATGGCAGCTATAGCCTGCAGGCCATCTACTGTTTACTTACTGGCTTGTCCTTGATAGTAGGACTGGAAACACATAGATAGAGCTTTCCATCTTCTTCAATACAGGCATCAATCAGTGCCTGGACAGAACTCTCTTCTTGGAATAGGAGGAATGCATAACCTAGAGTGAAGAAGAAAATAAAACAGTTAATTTTTTTATACTTATATTTACTTTTCTTTAGTTGTCTTCTCCATACAAATGTGTTTACTTGAAATGTAGAAGAAAGTCAAATCAACTCTTTGTTATTAGTCATGTTCTCCATCTGTGTGCTAATTTGCTGTGATCAATACAACTGTGGGCAAATACTTCTATCCTTAGGAAAAAAAAAAGAAAACACACCAAAGAGACTAATAATCAAATGAAAGCGAACATGTCTGCTCTATCATATATTATAAGTACAGACTGAGCACAACTCAGAGGTAGCTGCAGACATTATACAATGAAAATCCAACTTGGCACAGAGGACTAATCTCTGTTCTAGAGATTAGATCAAAGTACTTTGTTACATAAGTGACCCAGCAAGCCTCCCAAACACTATAAAAATAGGAATCAAAAGGCTTACTTAATGCTACAGTAAAAACACTCAGACAAGCAAGGAACCTCACACAATAGAATGCTGTAATGGTTACCATATGATATATACAGAACTTGTTACTGCACAGGTACCCCATACCACAATTTGGATGTATTCTAAAGCAGACTGTAAAAGGACATAAATCCCCATTTCTTCCTCACATTACTAGCAAGTGTAGAATATTCACATAAAGTGAAAAAATAAGGGCTGAAGCACCTGCTCTAGAGCGAGGTTGGCAAGAGGGAATATGACTGCTTCACCAAGCCTTTTGGAAATGATACTGCTTTTTGGAGAGGTACTACTCACTCACTGGCAATCCCATACTGCAAACAGCGTAGGTCATCAAGGCATTAACAGAATAGGGAGCATCTCAAAGAGCATTAAAGAATCAATGTTTTAAGATAAACATAAGATCAGAGAACCAAATGCAAATGATTTTAGATCCATGGGAGCAAAAGCAGGATTTAAATAAAAAGCTGTAAAGGCCTACGCTGTTTTTCCTAATAACTTGTACCTGATCTCATATCCCTCATACCATGGTCCTGTCACAGCTCCCTTCAAAGGACACAACTGTGCATATTCTACTTTCATGTAAATCTTACTCAGTTTATTAAAAAAGTCTGTAGGGAATCTTTGAGCTGTGGCTAAGGCATTTCCTGGTGAAATCCAATGTTATTAAAAAATACTGTTCAGAAATGAAAATTCTGTTCAAATTAAACTTAATTAGTAATTACTTAGACTCAAAAGCCCTGTTTAAGGAGGGATATCTTTCAGTATTTACTTTACAATTTAAAATTCACATATAAGCCATGTAAAACACAATGAACCAGGGCATGTGCAGACTAGCACGGATAAGTCAGACTAGAACCACATAACTGCCTTCACCTGCACAGAAGCCAGGTGCATACACTGCAGTTTGAATGGAGATCTCAGTACAAGAATGGCAGGAGTGCAAAAACCTCATTACCCGAGGTGAGGGCTAAATGGATGACATACAAACAATCACAGCCAGAATTATGTAAAACAATTTGCTGGAAGCTAATATTTCATCAATTTTTATCCTAACGCAAATCAATGTCACTGGCATATGGCTCCTGACACATAAATAGAATCAGTGTCCCCAGATCATCTATGACCTGTATGTCTGCAGCTATTAATATGCTTAGCAGGAGCCTTTTGAAGAAATAGACAATTCCAATAGGAACTAGATGAGGGAACAATTAGGATTTTTATCTACCACAATCTAAAATAAAAACAAGGAGAGCAAAATCAGAATTATATACTACCATTGCCTTCTCAACATTATCTGAAGAACTTAACTCGTCTGCGCTCATCCCATTTAATTTTAAGCAACAGAGAGGCATGTGTCATGAACTTAGTTGTACTTTTGAAAGCATGGAAAATCTGAGGTTAGCAAATCCATCTGGCTGAAGTTTTGCTCCATAGCTCTAGTGCTTCAGTGACTTTAAAGGTATTTTAGTTTGCTCCCCAAGCCTAGTCTGGAAGAAAATAACTAGCTCTCTTGGTGAAGAAATGCAGCTGTAGAAGATAATATGCTTCAGATCCAACATCTTGCAGACATGGCCAATCCCTTCCCACAGTCTGAATACAATCCTTTACTTGCTTTGCATTACGATACATATCCTTGCACAAACCAATTATACATTAGCCAAACTTCTACAAAGAACACCACAGTTACACAGGGATCCAGGCTTTGTATTCATTAAGCAGAAGAGAAGTTACAGTCTTAGATACTCAATTTAGATACAAATTTGGGCTTTTCCTCCTCCAGCTACCAGATGCCAACAACTATGTGCACAAACTTAATTCTCATCCCTTTCTGCTTTCTTAAGATATGTCTCTATTGGATTATCTTTATCCTCTATAATTCATGAACTATTATGGACTTTTATTGACTGCAAAGGTAGTTAGTTAGCTGCTGTTGGTAACTGCACTTAGGTGCGATGAGAAGGATTTTATAATGATACCAAACTACAATTACTATGTATAATAGAAAGTATATGTAGGAACTGTGAAACATGGCAGGGAGGTATTGTGAAGAGCACTTTATTGTACCACAGAACAGTTTAATTCTCTAGTTTCTTGTTTTTCTTGTGTACCACATCTGTCATGTAACCTTAAAAGCTTCGTACCCAACAGCAGTGCAAGTCTTTTCACAACGGAAAAGAAAAGCTGCTCTAATAGGATTCTCTGAAGGAAGCTGCTTCATACCTTTGGGTCATACGTACACTGGCAGTAGCAGGTCATGATCAGATATTGCTTGCCAAAAGGCAACCCAAGCTTGTACGGTTTCCATAAGTGAAAAATGTTAGATGGAACAGTCTTATAAAAATTTATTGTTCATGTGTACCAGCATTTATGCCTTCTGTGGAGGATAAAGTTTAGGTAACCCCTGCTAGCGTTTAATTGTTGACTAAATTACTCTGCATTATACTGCAATGGTTATAAATACTGCTGTTTCCAGAGGAAACTGGTGAGGGTGACTTTGATAATATCATTCCCACAAAATTATCTCAAAGAAAATCTTTCTGGAATATCATAACTGACAATAAAACTACATTCCTTGATATCTAAAAATGCTGCGCTGGTTATAATTATTGTCACTTTGAGTACAAACAAGAGTTCAAGAATCTTTTATATACAAAACTAAATATATATATATATATATATATATATAAATATATAAAAACTAAATGAAACTGTTCTAAGAATCCAAGCAAAAAAAAAAAAACAACAAAACAATCAAAAACCTATATACAGAATCAGTGCTTTCATTTTTTTTTTTATTTACTACACTGAAAAGGTGGCTAATATGAATTTCTGGCTAGGCATTCTTTCTTTATTCCACAATATGGAACTTCACAAAAGGAGAAAAGAAACTTAATGCATAGTTCCATGTAGAAATCTGAAAGTAGCTGTAAGTTCTATTTGACTCCAATTAACTTCTATCACCAGTGACTTAGAAGAGGGGTAAAGAAAATCGGTATAAGCCAGCTTGGATGGTCTGTATCAGCTGGCAGAGCTGCATTTTCTTTTATGGTTGGGTCCCCTACTGTTCTAACAGTCTTCCATACAAGAGAGCTAAAAAAACCCAAACAAGTGTAAACTACTGACAATGGATCTACAGTTGATAATGGGAATAATTCACATTTGGGAAGGATACGTAAATCTTTAAATCAGTCACCTTTTATCGAGAATCAACTCCAAATTACTCTTCAAGTGAGAATGTACAAGCTGAAACAACTGCAATGTAGATATTAACTAAGGCACTTTTGAATGAGAGGGAAATGGTGCAGGATTCACCTTGAGTCCCAAGCAAACCCTATTTCCAATATTTCTATAGTGACTGGGTTTAAGCTCCGTGGTCAGCAGAGATCTAGTTAATGTTGCCAGTGGTGTCTGGGCAGTTACTTGGCTGACAAGCATGACACAGAGATGCCTTGCACGACTCACCCTCTGCAGTACTTTGCCTAACCTTCAGCTGCTGTTCCAGTGGTGTGGGACTTCAGTAGGTACCGTACTACGTTTGCCATCCCTGGGTAAATCTTGATATTCTTGGTTTGGATAAATGAATCAAGCACAATGAGCTTACATTACAGTGACCTGAATAGCCCTTTGTACTCCAGTGACTATTGGCAAGATTCCCATTAATTAAAGGAAGCTTAGATGCTAATAGCACATGAAGACACCTACAGTTATTTGCCTGAATCCAGAGTTCAGTCCGACCCAAGGAGCTCGAATGAGCTGGTAACAAGTTCACCAATGGACCTAGGGTTTTGCTCCTTGAACTAGAAACAGAACGTTTTCAACATGATTTTTTCAATCAGTTGTAAATTAGCAGTTAATAATCTTGAATAAATGAAGCTACTGCATGACCACTGGGACAGAAAGAAAAAGAAATACGCAGATAATTAGAAAAAGCTGGAGATACTGTCTTGTTTAAACAGATTATCCTCTGTTTTATACAGACTATAAATAGTACAGAACATACAAACAACTGGTCCTCCTTTGAAAGGCTCTTTGCATCAGCATATCCTCACCTCACCATTTCTTTGTGAGCTTTATTATCATGGAAATGGAGTTCTCACCTCAGCAGTCGCTTTGAACATGTGTGCCAACTAACTAATAACAGGAGTTATGATAAGCAGTGACAAGATAGAAAGGAAGGAATTCCCCATTACAGCTGGCAGATCACTTACTGACTGTACTTTGATCTCAAAAGAATAATTCTTTTTCTGCTTCATAACTGAGTTTCCTTCTAAGATTAGTGTGAAGTGTTTAAAATTCCTGCTATCTTCAGGCCTCATTTTGTGGTGAACCAATACAAAATGTAATTAGCAAATAAAAGGCAGTTGGTGTTTCTCAGGAGGCAGTCAGCCTTGACAGATCAGTATTTCTTCAAGTAAGGAAATACTTCTTATGAACTCGGCCTTCCCTCAGGACTATCTGTAAGCAGAGAGCCTGGAAGGAAGCACAGCCTGGAAAACTGAACACAAGTATTAAGGCAGTAACAAGAGATTAAAAAAAAAAAAAAAAAAAGACACCAAACAAGCAACAAAACAGGCTGTATGTCTTCAACATGCTGAAGACTAATGTATAGAACAGCCCAAAAATGGATAACTCCAAGATGTCTTTGGAAGTAATACTATTTCAAGTCTCTAACAAGACTGGACAAAAACAGATACTAAATTAGTTCCATGCAAAGTAGTAAACTAGATAGCAAAGATTAGAAATTAAAAATAAAATGAACTCTTTGTGCTATTATATCGTGCTTATATTGGTAATTATCAGTCAATCTCAAAACTTTCTTTGTATTTAGGCAATGTTTAGCAGTTTTAGGTATCTTATTAAACACATATACACTGTTCCTGCCTGCACAAATGCGTAACACTGAAATATATTAAGATAAATTTCATAGCCTATAGTAATCATATATCTTATCTGGAGCAGTGAAAGAACCAGATTACATGTAAACACAGAAGTATTCAGCAGTTAATAGTAAATTATATTTCCAGACTATTTACAAATAGAAACCTACACTGTATTTTAAATGTGTGAGACTATTCCAGGCTACTGTCACATTATAAAACAATGATGAATACTGTAGTAAACAGTTTGACTATAAAGTGTTATTAAAGTTCATATAAAGATCAGTTAACCAACTTAACACTTGGCATCTAAGTGTTTCCCAAATTAATTAAATCAACAGACTGGAGTTCTTTTACCTACATTCTCTGCTTTCAATACAGACTTATTATTACTATTATTTTCACTATGGTACTTACAAGTTTTCCAACTGCAAAGTCTCAAAATACATACTTAAGATATTTACATTCTGAGCCAGGACTGTCTATGGAGAAATTAACGCCAGAACTCATTTCTTCCAGTGAAGAATGTTTTAGACCTTCCCTCTTCTACATATTCAATACAGACTCTGAGTTGAGCCTCTCCCTCAAACAGCTCCTCCAGAATTTCTCTTGGTAAATTGTAAGCAAAGATGCACTCCTTAGGATAATTAAATTTAGTTAAGACACTGAGATTTTTATTAGGCTGACAATCAAAAAAGTAAAAGTCTCTTTGGCTTGATTTCCATACAGTATTCATAAATACTATTCAAATACTTTCAACTCCTTTACCTGCTCTTTAGATGGCTACCTGAGGTAACATGCCTGTTTTTAAAATGGCATAGTCAGTCAGATAAATAACTGAGAACAGGTAAATAAAGGCAGTATGCCTGTAATTGTCACTTCCAGGGAAGGAAAGAATTGCTGCATTCTCTACAAAATGAATAACCTCTGGATCATATTTTTGTGTTTATTTTATACATATTAAATACATACAATTTCACATGCACAGACATAAGCTACATAGTTTACCTAAATGTAAAAATTTAGTCTAGATTCTGAATACCAAAGAGCAACACTAGAAATAGTTAAAAATCACTATTTAACCATATCTCAGAAAAGATAATTAGTGCCTCAATAGATGCTCATGTCTTAAAAATGGAATAAAGACAAAATTATTTTGATCATATACCCAAATAACATCCTTCTGAATCCTGTCTGTAATCCTCTACAAAAGAAACTGATTTAGCATTAAAAATTTGATCAAATTTTAGTTTCAGAAATCAGAAATGCCAATAATAGGTCTCTGAATTAATGACATGTACAGCTGTATAACACTGATCTAATAATTGGGAAATGAAATTATGGAAGATTCTTCAGAATTCCAGCACTGAACCAGGCAGAATACTACAACTCTCTGTATTTAATACTTGGTATGTAGAGCCTTGTCTGAACATGCACTGAAACTGCAGAATTAACTGTTCACAGGGATTTTAAATTATATCCTTTGGGAGAAGATTAGACAGTTTGCCCGAGTAAGATTGCACTCAGTGACAGGTCAAAACCTTCCAACTCTTACCTTTTGGTGGAAAATAGGACTTGCTTTCTGCTTTGTGAGGCCAATCTACTACCAAAGGCCCAAATCTTCTGAAGCTAGCAGTAATTTCATCTGAAAACAAATGTTACAGTTGAAATTAAAACAAATAAAAAAGTACTCAATGACAAAGTACTATCAAACAAAGGTCTTTGTTTATAGCAAAGTTTGATGTTTCATGGAAATAGAGGAGTGAAGTTTCCAAGTTTCCCAAACAAAAGCCATAAACAGATACCTCTTCCAAGTGTTAACATTTACACAAATGCTTCTGGTTATTTTATGCTTACGTTTGTTTTTTATTTTTTTATTTTTTCAATTACTCAGTAACAGGGGATTTCAGAAAGATATGGACAACTACAGGCATATAAGCAGGGAAGAAAGAAAGAAAATCCATCTCTGTGCATCTTTGTTTGGCATTTGTATTAAAAGGAACAATTCACATTTGAGTTAGATGCTGAAGCGTACAAAAGAAAAGCTGAGATATATTAAAATAAATCCCCTAGTACATTACAGGGGAGCATCATCATGAAGATGAAACCAAAGTATGGTCTTCCTATGTCTGAAAGATAATTAACCACAGGCAGCTTATTTAGTTTGCAAGTTATTCTAGGATTACACTGAACCTTGTAAAGGGACTTCTGTTTACATTACAAAACTAGCATGCAATTTACATTTATCTGCACAGGAGAAACCTAATATTAAACAGTACAATTAGTTCAAATCAGCACTATAATACAAGACTATTCCAACTGCATCACATAACAATCTGAGCTTCCATGGTGCATTCTGTATTCAGTGCATCACTCAGTGCTCTTCCACTTGACCTTCCTCTGCCTTGGTTTCTCTGTTTAGTAACAGGAACAATATTAACCTTTCTAAACCACTTTCGAGATTTTTAGGTAATGGTAAAATAGAATTTGAAATTCAATTACTATTAGTCATCTCCCATGAATAGATGATAAAGTAGGTTCATATAGAGGACAGTATGGAGGGCTAACACATATTAGAAAGGAATATGCATCCCCATATCAGGGAAAGATAAGCATAACCACAAATTCCAGGCATTGTATGAAACTCTTAAAAGCAGAATAAGAACTAAATCATTTAAAAATCAAAAGGAGAGGACATTACTTTGCTAGATGATTTATTTTCAGTACCTACAGCTCACCTTCATCAATATCTGGTGGAAGACCTCCAACAAATACTTTCCGAGAAAAACGCTCAATTCGTTCCCCATTCTGATGACCAGAATAGCAGGTAGGTGAATTTAAGACTCCAACTTGATCATTATGACCATCATCCAACAAACCATCATCTATCGGGAAGAGGGAAGAACGGCCTTAAAAAGAAAAAAAAAAAAAAAAAAGTATTTATATATTAAAACAACTTCATGGCAGTACACTGTAATGCAATTTTAGAATGGGGAAAGGAAGAATAGCTGTCTGGAAAATAAACAAAAATATCAAGGTATTAGAAAAGTACACATTAGCTAAAGAATAACTAAGGCAATGAGAAATGTATTAAAACCTCCAAAAGGAAATTCAAGACTGTAAACTGACATCTCTGTAAATGTAATACCTCATGCTATCTTGTATTGTAGTTACTCTGCTGCATCAAGCAGGAAAATAACAATTTGTTCTTAAATAAAGAATCTTGTTTATAAGAGATCATATTAAGGTCTGCTTAAGTGAATTTAATTAGCTTGCCTTTGGTTTGGCTTCAAGATAAAGGGATAGCTTCTATCACGCAAAAGACTACTGCATGTCTAAAAATTACACTTTAATTGACCAGACAGAAATGGAAAACAATATATACACAGTAGGACGTTTCAAATGGGTATGTTGCCTCTTTTCTTTTAGAATATTCTGATTCTGCTGATTTAGTTTCTATGAAAGCAGAAGATAATTTTAACAAGTGAGCATAGTGTAACACTTGAAAAACGAGTCACAATGCTGACTGGCACTCGCTTTCAATTTTACGACAGTTGTGAAGGGAAGCTTTTGGGTGGTTCCTAACATGGAGCAGTCTGCAGTGAGACTGCAGTTACTCTATGTGAGGACAAGGTAAGTCAGGTTTTTCAAGGGTTGTTGTTGCATGCCGCCTCTCCTTGGAACAAAAAATGTTCCAACTGAAAAGCTACTGCAACTGTGACAACCAAGATCACCATAGGACAGCTTTGCAATTGCAAAATAATCAAAACAGACCCATAGATGGCAAAGGAGATTCAAAACGTGTTGTTTCTGTCCCACTTTCACACACATAACCATTTTCCTGTTTGCAAATTTCAGAGAACTCCAAAGCAAAAGACCCTGACAGTCACACATCTTCAGTTATTCAAGCTTTCACTGCTTTAAGTCAGCAACAAAAATTAATCACAGTTTCAAGTTCAGAAGTTCAAAAAAAAAACCCAAAAAAACCAAAAACAAATAAACAACACTTTAGCGAGGCAAGATAAATATGCCAACATCAGCATTTATTCTGACATGCATTTCTGTCTCTTTCTCACTTTTTAAGCTATTACTGTTTATTGTTAAGTCATTTTGGAATTCAGCTGCTTTCCAAAAACAGAAAAACAGCAACCAAAAAAACAACCTAGTATACTTTTGGGAAGCAAGTTCATTTTCCACCTTAACTGACCAACTTCTTCCTAGTTCGTGCACTGCAAATCAGAAGCAGTAGGTTTGTGACAGTTGAGTCTGCAGTAACTTAGCTGCATTCTATGCTGCAGTCTAACTTTTACCCCATCTCAGAAAAACCGGAAGAAATTCTGTTGCAAAGCCTCGTGGCCCTACGTTGATATCTGAATCCACTATAAAAATACAGTGCATCAGAAACACTAAAGGAAAACACAAATGTGCTAGAAATCAACTAAATGTAATTGTTAAGAGGATCATAAAACAGAAGCAGGACCACCGGACAGTACTGAGTAATAAAGAACAGTAACTACAAAGTCCTTATGGTGGCATTTCATGTTTGTGCCTGAAGTAGCAATCTGATAGAGTGGAATGCAGCAAACACGGTAAGACGTACCAGGCTTTGTCGTTTTAGAAATGGTGATGTATGTGAAAATATGACTTGTGGGAAGCAAGTGATGGCATCCTCACTTGCCACCATAAGGATGCATTCATTTAGAACACAGATGACAGTAGCAGCAGAGAGCCTTTAGAAATGGAAGCAAGGAGCCTGTGTTGATGGGGCAGAAAAGTCAGAAAGCAATGGACAAACACAGCTGGAAGAAGCAGCTAGGAAGACTCTTCCTGTAAATGAACTATTTAGACAGAAGGAGTAGGATCATGCTATGACAACTCCAAAAAAGAGAAGACTGCAGCAGCTGTGTAATGTGGATGTGAGTTTCAGTTATGAAGACTAATAGCAATGGTCCGGTCTTATGTCTATGAAGGAATGGTAATATTTGGTTACCAATCAAGAAAAGAGGATTACAATATTTAAATGATGTAAAAATATGCCGACAATAATTTAATAAGTGCTGGTTAGACTGCTGCCAAGAAGCATTTAAGTTTTTTTTTTCTGAAACAAGCAAACAAAAACCACACACACAAGAAAGGATCAATATCTCTTCAGATGACCAAAGTTACGCTTTCATTTTTCTCTGAAATTATTTTAGATAACTCCATTTCTGACTTAAAGTATACCAAGTATTTAGGAAGAAAAATCCCTACTAAACAATAATCACCAGAGGGATTTATTCTTTTCACAGACCAGAGTTAAAATCTCATGACAAGGAGAATCTAAGGCCTGGTTCCCATTACAAATTAAACCATGAGAAAGCGTTTGTGAAGCAGTATCAGTGAGATCAGTTTAACTTTAATGTGGGGAAAGGTTTCCCAAAAGCTGTGTAGCTCCTCAAAGAGCTAGGATGACAGTGAGGACAATGCATTTACACATTCAGAGCAATGCACTATTTGATTCCAAATACTTATTTCTTCCTTCTTTTCACTTTTAAATGCCTCTCATCTGAAGACAGTAAAAAGTAATTTCCCAGGCTTTCAAATCTCTCCCAAGGACTCTGAACTAAGGATAAGCTCTTTAAATACTTGTTTATTTTTGTTCTATGGCAGTGAAAAAAATTATATGGAATCTGACATAAATTGTCAGAACGCTATGGTGCTATTACAGGCATCGATCATGGTTCACGTAACTCCTCTCTAAAATGGGGCTAACAACCAACTTGTTATGAACACAGAGATCAAGACAGACAAATTCAGTGTATATTGTGAAGACTGAAAGTTCTTATCAAAAATATCAAAAATCTTGGTGCTTTTGCTGCACGTTTTCATAACAACCACAGGATACATTCTCATATAGTTGAATCAGTACTGTTTTTCTACAGTCAGTGCACGTATGCTGATTTATACTACAAAGGATTGTCCATTCAATTTCTTACCAAGCTTATGAAATATTTTCAAGATTTACTCTACGCAATCACACAGAAGCAAATGAAGATTAGTTGGGACAATTAGCAAACCATATACTTTTAAGGGAGGCAAAAACTGCAAGCAGTTACCATTAGCATGAACAAAATTATGATTAGAGCTACAGTGTTTTAACTGATTAAGGGATTTGTAACTCAAAATTTAAGAAGAGATCAACGATCCAAACAATCCACCCCCCCTTCCCTCACACCCGCCAATTTCCCCATATTAAGGAAACATGCAGACAAGCATTTATAATAAAACATCTGGATTAATTAATCGTAAGGATCAGTAACAGCTCCATCAGAATTAATTGTACTGTAACAAACAGAAGTGAGTTACCTCGTCTTCGCCCATAACTCCTTGCTGCATGTAAACAAAGGACAAATTGTCAAATGTCAAACAACTCTGTCATGCCCACGTATTAAAATATTTATCATACAAAAAACTATGTGGGTGAGTGAAAAATAAAAATCTGCATTGTGATTTGCCTTTAGTAACTGCAGAAAAGACTGCAATAAATTAAATTCTCACTTAAATATAATTCTGTTTCACTACCAAATTGATGTCAGAACTAGCTACGAGAATGATAGTTTAAAATACAGCAACGTTGCACAAATGTTAAGTATTCAGTGTGCCTTTATACTTGGTCTGAACTTCACGTTAATTACGGAAACATAAAATATGGTACATTTATAGTTAATCTCCACGAATGCAGTTAGTATCTTATACAAGTGTCTAAATAACACATAGGGTACTGAAACTGTAAAAAGGAATATACTGCTTTAAAAACCACGTAGCAAGCACTGCATTAATCACAGAAACATCCTGGTCCATGGAACAGTTTGTACAGTCCTTTCAGTGACAATGCAAATGCTATGACCTTCCTTTTTCATGAAAGGACCTAGCAGAAAATTAACCGCAAGGTTTTGTTTGAAACAAAAGACTCCTTGTGGTGGCAAACAAAATCAGGGCACAAGTCACAAGAAACAGCATTGTACCAAAAACACTACACAAAGGCGATGCAGCAATTTCTGACGGACTGCAAGGAAATCCAAGGTTTGCCTAACTTTTGAGTTTTGCAAGATTCTTAAAGAGATCGTGCATTATAGCTACTGCCTCTGTACTGTGCTGCTCAGCCTGGAGGTTAAGAACCTAAAAACAGACGGATTACTAATACAAAAGCTATTGAGTTATGTGCAACTTTTCAGTTTCACTTCTACAAAGTATTCTCAATTCCTGTTTCTCAGATATGCAACCTGAGAAAGATGACTTTAATCACTGCAGTACAGTAATTTAATATCTAAATAGATTACTGCAAAACACCTTACAGTGATATTCACCAACGAAGATTACTGTGTTCCTGCATTACTGTTTTGATTTTACTGGGACTTTATCCTTAGATTTCTCCTAAAATGCAACTTTGCTTCTGAGACACTGACACTCATGCAGCCTCACGAGCTCAATGACTCGCGAATGTCATTCACTGTTCCATTTCCACATTATTAAACACTTACATGCTGATACTTCCCATCTGCATTTAGTGAGTATACATTTTTGTTCTCTCCAGCCCTTCCTACTAGGAATTCAGTAGATTGCTTATGGAATTCTGAAAGCATCTCTTGCATTTCCTCCCTTAAAACAGATCTTTCTTACATAATATTCAGTATATTTCTAACCAACTTGCACTGAATATTCTTTTACATTTATTTTCCTTCATCTGAAAGGATTACTATTAATTACAATAATCTTTTGCTTAAAGTTTTTCCATATCCTCCCTCTTTCTATTGTAACCCAAAACAAAAAAGCCCAGTTTCAACAAACAAAATGGAAACACCTAAATCCTCCTTTCCCACATGAAAATAGCACCCACAAAATACAACATATCCTTTTACAGAGGATCTGATTAGTTCTCCTACTAGGGGATGCTGCATGGAGAAAACAACCTCCAACTTCAGACTTGTTACCATCTGAAGTCAGGCACTTTCAAGACACACAGCTTGGCCACTGCTGCAGCAAATAAGAATCTTTTCTGATTCTTGGCCAAAGAGACTCCCACATAGCATTACAAGTAGCGTCACCAAGTCCCCATCTAACCCCTTGTACTCCTTTCTTTTTATTTTTTTTCCACTCCCTTACACAAATAAAACTAGAGTAAGAGGGAAAATGTGAGCGCATCACATCCACAGCAATGAGCGCACTGGCACATTCCCTCTCAGAGGGTAATATGGAATTACATTTTAGCAAGCATCTTCTGGCACAAAGCCTTAGTAATTTTTCTCCTCTTCCGCAACTATTTCTCTTTATGCATTTTGAAATAGCAGTAATTTTAGAAATAAACATAGAAGGGTTATTAAAATCCTAAAAAAAAAGCCACAAAGCAATTGAGCTTAGAAGAATAATTGCTGCAGTATTTTATATAGAGAAATGACAATGATACACCAAAGGTATCTGTTTATCTTCTGTGTGTCCTTTGCCTAGGCAAAACAACAACATCAGGGAAAATGGAAAAATAACTGTGTTTATATTTTCACATTATTTACTTCACTTGTATGGCAAACCCCTTCTCTCCTAATACTTATCTCTTTTGTCCATTTGGATTGCAAAGTTTGGGCATGGATTTTTTGCCACTTGACTGCAGAAAACTTTGATCTCCTTGAATCCCACTCCAAAGGCACTACTGCAATAAATGTGAGCACTGATACCAAAATGTAGGGTTTTGCAAAGCGTGCTATTTCTTATGATTTTTATCCATAGCTTAGGACCATGACCACAGTGGATGTACTACAGATGACAGGCTCTCATCAGGCTGCTTCCCCAGTCCCTAAAATATGATGGTACAATGAACATATTCTTTCTAGATTCAATGAAAGTTCAGATTTTCATGTCCCCAACATACATATTATTGTCTCCCAAAAGTTATTGTTTCTGAGAATTATCCCAATGAACCATGCTTTCAGTATGAAGTGAACAATGAGATATTCTTTTAGGTTCAATCTAGATTAAATCAGACATATTCTTCTGTATTTATTAAAATACTGTACACGTTTGTATTATAGCCATCAGAACACTTGATGCTTACAGATCAAGTGGCCTAACTATACACATTATATATATTTAATTAGAGATATATTTATAAATACAGTTTTTATATAATGTTATAAAAATGTATTTAACATACATATTTACTTAATTAGCATACGTGTTCAGAGAATTGAACGTGGAGGGAGACTCTGCAAAAGGCCAGACACTTGTAGTTAAATATGATTAACAACAGCAAAATAGAGATTATACTTCCTGCTTTCCTTCCTGATCTTGTTCAAAGAATAAGTCATACAGACATAATCTTTGTATTCTTAACTCTGTAATGACGGATATCCTCCCTAGCCAAAAACTTTGCAAGATTTCATAGGCAACAATGAACTTTACGATATCAAGTAAAATAAAATGCTGTTTGCACTTCACAGTTCTGACGCACACAATGGGAAAGTGAAGCAATGAAGCCTTTTTCATTAATATGTATTTGTAACCTAAAGAAATCCATCAATTATAGCTGAATTTTTCAAAAGCACAGAGTAACAGAGGTAGGCGCCTAATTCCCATTACATTTCATCAGATTTGGGTGCCTAAACACTATTTAGATTGTTCAAGAAGTCACATGTTTACAGATTTTTAAGGCTGAAAGAGATCATTATGACCATTCAAGTTTGGCATTTGTAACAGAGTACAGATTCTCATTCAGAATTTCTTATATTCATAAATTTAATAACTTCTGTTTAAAGTAAAATATTTTTCTTAAAAGCACCATCAGCCTTAAGCATCTCCGAGTGATAGAAAGCCCCTTGATGCAGTGACTGAATAGTGAATTATCACAGAATCATAGAATGGCTTAGGTTGGAAGGGACCCTGAAGATCTAGTCCCCTGCCATGGACAGGATTGCCAATTACACTAATAAGTCTCAATAGCCATTTAAAAATGCATTAGAACTATAAAAGAGGTAGCCTTTAATGGTGAAAAACACTCTAAAACTCTCACACTTGGACACCTGCTACAAAAAGAATCTAAGATTGAATTGTCCATTAAAGACATACTCAAGTAACTCTGATTCCAAAGCATCACAGAGGTTGTAAAAAATCCTTTTAACAGCTTGAGCTGAAACAGATAAATAATTATATATAATTTATAAAAACATAAATCAGCTTTCCTTCGGTTCATTTCATTAATTTAAATAATGAAAACTGTAAACAGTAAGTACACATTAAGTGAGGTGGAAAGTATCCACTATTTAAAAAAAGGAAAGCTAGTTAAAATCATTTTCATCTACAAATGTTCAGTCTCAAGATGGTTGATGGTAAAAATGTTGCTGCTCTTTTCTTTTTTATGAAGGACAGGCGTTACTGATCCTCCTTGTAGTGACTACAACACTGATTTTCTCAAACGTGAGTCTCTATGCATCATCAATTCTCCTTTTCCACATTCCTCTGTCCATGGAACCAATTAAAGGGATACTGCGAATCATTCATTTGAACTCACTTTGGCAGAGAAAAATGAAATCTGCAACTTATTTCACAAGTGTTCAAATTGTGATTCTCCTTACCACATACATAGAGAAAGCCCTTCAATTACTGCAAAGAAAGAAAGGTTGTGACAGCGTCTGAAACAGCTGGAGCTTCCCTGAAGCTGATCTTTGTGTTTCTATTTTCTAGCTGTAAATAGGTGTAGTTTAGATGCTTCAGCCTCACGCAGCTCCAGACAGTCTATCTGACTGCACCTTAGACTATCCAAATGCACTGCAGGAAGGTTAGGCATCCAACAAAAGGCTCTGAATCAAATTTGAGAGGGCATACCTAAAAATTTGGTGGGTAACAACACCTGTCTCTTAGAAATTTTTTCTCATTTACTAAAGCTTGTATGTAATATTGCAGCTTTTACAAAGGACAGCTGTTATACTGAATGCTAGCTTTCAAACATCAGTGGAAATCTCATCAACATTAATAACAAACCAAAGTATTTCTCAGTGCACAGTGTAGCTCTGTGGTAAGGCTTTCAGGATAGTCTGGCACCACAGACATGCATTTTTCCAGTGTCACCAATAAAAGCAAAGACTTTTTTTTCAAGATATTCCATATTCCACTTGCATGCAGTACTATAAAAGGAGAAGCTCACCATTCTAAGCATTAAACATTTAAAAAAAAATATGAGTAACTTCCCTGAAAATATATCAGTTTCTCAAAAGATTAATTAATGTTTAATACCTTCCCACCCGATGCTTCATTATAAATCAGGAGAAAATCACAATGGAATAAACAGTGTCACAAAAGGAAATCATATTTTCCATTTTGTATCCATTTGCACAAGTGTAATTGATGGTGCAGAAGGCGAAGGCAATAAAATAAAAGAAAGAAGTTCCACAGAACCACAAACCTAAAGTACCTATTCTGTTTGTATTTTTCACAAATTGGTTTCCACTGCTAACATTCAGACCCATCATTACCCAATAGTTAAAAGTGAGAAAAACGTAGCTGCATTGTGTACATGAGATTCAACTTTTTCTGATCTTGTGAATCTCTGGCATTATAGCTCTAATTTTTCCCAATGCAGAAAACATTTGTGTGCAAAATCCCTGATTTATTATTGACTTAGATGGATTACCAAGCTCTGCTTCCTTCTTTAGCCTTGAACAAAGGCTAAAGTTCATGCCTTCACTGAGTAGCAGATGTTCACGAAGTTTGACCTACTGGGAGAGGAACGTGAACATGAACTCTAACTTCAGCGTATTTTACAGTTAGAAACATATCTGACAAAGCCACTTAAGAAAAGAAATATTAGACCACATAAGCGTAATAAAAAGTATATAGATCACCCTTTATCTACACGATGCATTTCTCGACTTCTTATTTTTTTCTAATTCTCATTCCAGTGTGCTAGTTTTTTTGCAAAGCTTTGGCGAATGTTATTCTCGTGTGCTTGAGAACAAAAAAGAATAGTGCATCCTTAAGTATTTCAGATTTCAAATAAGCTAGAAATAATGAAAGGCTGTTGCAAGATTAGCTGTTGCCATTCAGCTCTGAAAAATGGCAACAGTCCCATCAGTGTTAAAGACTAGAGGCAAGTAATTCAATAACAGAATATAATAGCATAATTTTGTACCAACATGTCAGATTTAAACTAAGCTAGAGATAATTAGAAACTGTTATAAGATTAGCACTTACCATTTAACATCAGAAGATTGTCAGTCCCTGGATGTGGATAACTCAAGCGACCTTAAAAGAAAGCAAAAAGCAAAGAATAAAACAAAGCAAACGCAGAGGTATTAATTATTACGCTAGAAAATGATAATTCCACAAAGAAATGAAATATCACTTCTTAGAATTTAAATATAAACTCTATTTCCAGTTTGCCTAAGGGAAATAAAGAGCTAATATTTAACTCCAAGCACATTAACCAACAATACCCTTGACCCAAGTTAAAGCTGACAAGAACAGACTTCTTAACCTTAATTCTCTGGTCATAAGATCTGCAGTGCGCTTTGGGATCAGCTCCAATAGGATAAAGCCACTTTTTGTTTCATGACACCCAGAAATAGTGCTGACTGCTTTAGTCTTCTCCTTCATACTGGTTGTGAATAACTGTACTACGCACATTGCTTAACAGAGTGGCACTTCTACAGTTTAGTGCCTCTCCAATGAATCGATGTAAGAAAAAACATGTCAACATGAATTAATATTAAGGCATTAAAAACGTATTAACCAATTTATGATTGCATCTTGGTGCTTTGCATATAAAAATCATATGTAAGTTTTTTTAGTAAGTCTGGCAAAACTAGTGTACTGGCTTACCTGCAGAATTAAAAAAAAAAATAATATGATACATCACATTTTCCCTCAAACACCCATCAAATGAAAATTATGCAAAACCTCACATCCTGACATTAGAACTTTCCAAGTATTGCATTTTGCTATATTTGTAGTATGTTGTATTTCTATAGTTAAATGTCTGCTTTAAAATGCACAGTCGAAGTGTCTCTTCACTACCAATTCCTTTTTATTAAAGATGACTTTTTCTGTTTACAGGAAGCTGCAAACATACCAGTAGTGCACACTGACCTAGAGAGAAACAATAAGCTGCTGTGTTTAGAAGTGTGCTTTTAAATGAAAAAAAAAACCCAACTCCATATTTTCCTGTATCTTGCTATGAAAATGTACTTGCTTGTATATAATCCTTAAATATATATACATATATTTTTAATCTTTTTGAGTAAACTAGAACATTTGCATGTTTAGAACTGAGACAGATTTAAAGGGGAATATATATGCAGATGGCTAGCAAATATTAGTAGGATGCTGTAGGTAATCATACTTTAATAAGGCTAATGCTTTCTGAAAAGAAACATCGCAAAACAAGGAGAATGGAAATCAAAGCAGTAATCTATGTGTTAAACTTGTCTAACAATCTAAATCATACATTTCGTTTTTCCCTCTATTGGCAATTTCTTGAGATAGTATTTGGGATCCAAAAGTCCAAAAGGACACTTGAGGATTAAATAAATAATCCTTTTGCAGAAAAAAAAATGAGGTAATAGTGCTTAAATTTTGCTTTTCCCCCTTGAAAAACAAACATGAGAATTTTATATCCAAAAATATAGAAAAAGTAGTGATAATTATGAACTCTTCCACTCAAAACATCAAGATTAAAACCCCCAAAATTATACAGTTACTCTCTTCCAACAGATTCCATTAATATTAGAATGTACATTAATGGAGCAGCTGAAGATAGGTAACATCGATCTCAGCCTATTTGTTTTACAATTTGGAAAGCATAGGTTGATGCCATCTGGAAGAGCTCTACTGCCTTCTCTAACTTCTTCTGAACTTTTAACAGGCTTAGGCAAGATATTAAATAAAATCAGTAATGTTTCTGGAACAGTAAATACTCCATGCCTCTAGAAATGCATGCTGGTGTTAACGAGAGACGTAGAGAGAAGAACGCTTCCTTAAATTGCAAGCAAGGAGCTGCCACTGGTTTGCTCAGCCTGGTTTTTAAGAAGTCACCTTGCTTTTCTTCTTAGTTGGTCTCTAAAATTAATACTCATTTGGCTGACAGCAAGAATTTACTGTCACCAGCCTCTTTATATGTAGAAGTATTTGCAACAAACACTGTGAGTGATTTCTTGATGTAGAACAACCATAGAAATTATGAGAAATGATCATCTCTTGTTGAATCTGCTTGAGTCTCCACTGACATTCTTTTTGTTCTTTATATAAATAGCTTTTCATTTTCTCATTTAGTGAAGGAGACAAAGGATACAAACCCTAATTACAACGGGAAAAAAAAGGTAGGATTTAAGGCTTATCATGAAAGAGAACCCCACCAGTACCAATATCTACACAGGAAAGCTGTTTTAGAAGATTCATTCTGGGTTTACCACTCAATTTTTGCATTCTTTACACTTTTTTTTCCCCTCTAACTCCACGAATAAGCTGCACCTGTAACATAAGGTGCAAACTGAGAAAGCTGAAATAATAAAGTGCTTCTCAAGAAGCAATGGGCAGAGCTGCACTAAGGAGTGCTCTGTTTGAATCTACTGGGCCCACTACTCCTGTGTCAAGCTTATGAATCAAACACAAAGAAACCACATCTTGCTGTTCTGAAGATGAATTTGCTAACTCAGATAATAATTTGAACATTAGAAGAGGAAAATAAGTAACACATTTTACGCAAGTACTGCTGCACTGATATCTGTTTTTAGTCTTAGTCAAATAGTTATTTCAATGAAATCGCATTTTGTGATTTAAATATAGATACAACATTCTGGTGAACCTAATACCTGCATTTTATTACCTTTGTGTAGTACTTGGGCTTTACAATCTTGAAAATATTTTTAAGGTTTTCTCACTTTTTCAAAACATAACCACTGCTGTTTGTCATGTTAACTTCAGTTCTTCTTCCTCAGCCTAATCAGGGGAAGTAAAATGCAGTGTTTCTAGAGAGTTCACTTGAGTTTAATGGTATGAATAAACTCAGAAAATTTCCCATGTGGAATTCGGTGAGAGATCAGACCCATACAGAGTTCAGACAACTCCAATCTGTTTTAAAATAGCGTAGAATGGATGCATACAATATTAAATCTCATGTAAAATATCAATATATAAAATAGAGAACAAGGGCACATCACCTTATATCAATTTACTTAGCTATCATGTTTTAGTTCCTACTCATCTCTTCCCACTGAATGCTGTTTAATGCTGTTAAATTGCCCTCACCACAAATCCCATCTATTCCCTTCTTACCTCAATGTCAGTAAACATGAACTCTATGATCATTCAGTGCTTATTCTAGTTGTTCCAGTGGTTTCTACTTGCTTAAAAATGATTTCAATTAGATAGAAAGATGCTACACTAGTTTAAAATAACAACTACAAATTAGCAACATAATTATCTACTAATAAATAATAGATGTATTTAATTCCTGAGAAATGAAAATCACTTCACTGACTGCCTACAGAACAGAGCTCTACAGCACTCACAATTAGTACCATACTGCCACTTGAAAAAAATACAGTGGCTAGTATTATAGTACTCTATCACAAAGTGCCATATTGTAGAAAATTTCTCTATGAAAGCTGAGTCTAGGAACTTCAGCACATCTTCACTAATTATTCTCCTGTACCACAGCTAAATTCAGAATAGCACTGCTGAGGAGAAGCAGGTATTTTTGACATTTCTTATGTAATTAATGTGCCATTAAATTCAATCCCCTCTTCCACATCTACACCAGTAATGTTAACGTAACTGGTTGGTATGTATATCTCACAACATTTTCTTCCATAAGGAGGGAAAAAAACAAGCTTGCAAATTAGTTTTAGCAGGCCAATTTATCCACTACATCCAATTAAAACTCTTGATAATAAAAATGACAAGGAAAGAGTAACAAATGTGCCTTTGGTTACATGTCTGTAAGCACATGTTACTAATACGATGTTTTTTCTCCAGGCTTCTTCTGAGCATCCAGATACAGTTGCTCTTGCTGTTCATTTTAAGACAAATTCATATCTGCTACTGGAAATGCACACTTTCTGTAGGACTCCCCAAATATTTAAACATTTGGGTTAGACCTAAATTTACAGTGACCACTTGAAACACTGCTGGCTCACAGCTTCACAAGTTTGATGTTTCATTGTCTGCATCCCTCTCCTTTTTTTCCCCGAGTCTCAAATGATTGAACGAAGAGATAAGAATCACAAATTCCTTCCCCACTTTCCTTCTTTCAGTATACATCTTGATTAGAAGAGAAAAATCTTCCGTGTTAAGCTTCTCCCACACTACTTTAGCAGACAGAATGGCTGAGTTTCAGCAGTTTCAGAAAGCTCCGTTTGTGTATCAGCATAGATAAGACAACAGCACAAAGCCATGTTTGGACAACACCTAGTTACAGAAAGCCTAGCTACTACACTTTCACATGCTTGTGTAAGAATTATGTAAGCCTGAATGAGGCCAAATGTGCTGTCTGTGACAGTCCATGTGTTTAGGCAAATGAGTCTATCAGACTTAAAATAGGAGGATTTTTTTCCTCCCCAGTTTCTAAGAAAGAAACCTACAGAAAACATTCTGAATGTATGATTTCAAAACCTCTTCTAGGACAAAAAGAGAATTTTCCCCTTCTCAACTTTTCATTCTGCCTCAGAAACCCTTTTTGGTGTATGATTTGAATTACCCCAGGATAGAACTGAATAAGTCTTACTGCTTTCTAATAGAAAATATAAAACAAAATTATTTGAAAACAAGAGTTGTCAGATCCAAAGAAAATGTTCTCTACTACACTGTTCAGTCACTGCTGCCTTTTCTTTATACTTCACTGGGCATCCTCCAGCAGGTTGCTTTTAAAAGAAGCACACAGAACAGCTGAAAAGCTTCACTGAATTAATTGAATGGGAAAATAAAAATAGGAAAGAGCAACATATGTGCATCAAGTTATTTTCCACAAGTCAATTAGTATTTTATTATTAGTTTTATTACTAGCTATATAAGATGGTATTATTTCAGTTCCCCCCAAAATCTATTTTTTTCCCCTCTTCCCCTCACCAAAAAAGCAGGAAGAAAACTTCAACTCCTTTTTCCTATAAACAAACTTCATATTTGTTCTTGTTATTTCTATTAGCATGACTAATTGAAGTTCTGTACTCTCTTGTATCCAGCTTGCAGAGCTGTAAGAGAGCTGTTAGAAAAAAAAAATAACTGTAAATGGAGTAAAGTATCAGTACTCCTTCCTTACTAAAGAGCAGCTTTCATAATGCATCGAAATCACCATCACCTTCAATAGAAAAGTGCTTAAAACAGTAGATAATAAATACCATAAAATCACCTGCTTCACAATTTGGATACATATTCCATGCAAAATATAACTAGTTCTTTTACATTTTTTCCATAATTTGTTTTAGACCAAACATTTTGGCGTTTCTGTTTCTGAATAAAAGCTTCCTACATCAGGAAAGACTCGCGTTTGGGGGGAGCTTGAAAAAAATACAAGTACACAAGAGTTCTATCTCTGGTCTAACAATATTCTAGTATTTTAGGCCAACTTCCACCCTTCTAAGGGTTAATAAAAGAATAAAAAGGACATTTAGGAACAAAAATGTAAAAAGGAATTAATTTAGCCTTTATTTACTTTGGTTTACGTTCTAATGATTGGAATGGGTAATCAACTATCATTTTATAAAGTGGATTTTAAGAAAACAACTTGGGAAGATTAGTTTTAATAGGATCAATATCTTTGCTGCAACAATTAGTGAATTCAAGCACTTCTTCCCTACTAGAATACCTTGAAATGTCTTACCGAATTCCAAAAATTCTTTATTTTGGTTGTGTTTGTAGTGAGACTAAGCTTCACCTAAGTGAAGCTGAAACTACACATCTGTAAACAACCTTTGCCAGGCATAAGGTTAGCTTTCAGTGAATCATATTTGAAAGAAAGGTTTTTCAAGTTCATGAAAAGCAAGAACTGTGAAATCTGACTTTCTTCTAAAATGAATCTTCAAATGCAAAACTTGGAGCTGTGAGCTAGTAGTACGCGCTGTGTCTGTTCTGCATTGTGCAAAGTCTGAGACAAGATGCTTAGTCATACTCCAGATATTGTAAGCAGCTAAATCTGAAACACGTGCTTAAAATTCCAGGGACTTTCATTTTACTGCTGTGGTCAGATATAAAAGATGCATTGTTTCAGTGTGCTTAGATTGCTGAAAAACGTGTCATAAAAATATTCTCTAGTTATAAAAATATTCTTTACTTACAACAAAGTACACTTCATATTAGTAAGAATAAAAAGTAATAATATTTTCAATCCTGTGCATTATGCAAGCAGATATGATAGGCTCTTATTTAAATGTCAGATTTGCTGTAGTGAAAAGAAATGCCACAGGGACAGAAATAACAAAATCAGTGTTTCATGGGTTGTAAAAAAAAAAAGAAAGTTACAGTTGCTAGGAGGTTACAGAAATGCCAACTAATGGTGACTAAACATGAGAGGGATAGAGAGTGACTGAGAAGCTATTCTTGGATGTGTTTTCTGCTTCCCGCTGCCAGTCAGTAAAATCAATAAGGAATATTTCCCTTGTCTCACTGCTAATAATGTAACGGTTTTAATTAAAATAATAACTTCCAAAGGAAAAAAAATGCATCTTCGTCAATCTATTTAAATAATAGCACACCATTACTCCATTAAAATTCAGCTGGTGTGTGCATTGTTCTCTGGCACTCAAACAAAAAGAGAAGAAAAGAATTTCCTTTGAATTCATCGCTATCTATGGCTTCCATCTGTTTTAGTTCAAACAGAAAACTTAGCAGAATTTTCACTGGAAGGGTACGATGGTAAAACTGTTAAAAGAAAAATAAGTCTGTCAACTGTAGACTGAAACCATACACTCGTGTCCCTAGAAAGCTCAGAATAACTATGGAACCTTCACTGAGTTTTTCAAAAATGTCTATATATGGACATATCTCACTTCATCTTAAAAGCTTTGTCTTGCCTTATTCTCACTAAAAAAATATTACTGGAAAGATACAGTTTTCACATAGCGTATCATAATGAAATATGCTGAGAAGAATAAAAATAGGGCTTTTGTGTGTTTAGTATGCCTCTGAGAACTCTTCTACATTATAAAACCAAAATGAAAACAAGAGAGAACTGGTAGGGGCACAAAGCAACCACTTCCATTTGTCCCATCAGTGTGCACAGAAGTGAAGAAACAAGTTGATTTTCAGGCACGTGAGAGATGTCACTGGTATATTATAAAAGAGGATACGCATTCTCTAATTCTAGTAACGATCCTGATGGTAGACTTGGGTTCAGATAACAAAGAAAATATTGGTCCTGAGTGTAGTGAATTCGTTACCTTGTCTGTGATGGCATGCATGTGCTTTTAGTGCATAGCTGTTACCACAGGGTTAACATTCACAGGTTTCAACCTCTTTGAGTTACTTTGTAATGTAATAAAGATGCAGACTGGACAGAAACTGAACTTACTGGTAGAACATAATGATGAAATAATTAAAATGGAATTCTTTCTCTGTAAGTATCATGAAACAAGAAGACAGATTTAAGAACAACTAAGAAAATTTAATTTCAGCTTCCAGTCTAACAGAGGAAAATTAAGCAGCTAACCAAACGCTACGTACTTATTGATGCTTAGCAGAGATTTAGTTTGGAAAGACAAAATGCAACACAAAAGCTTTTGGCTTTACACTATAAATCTTCAACTGTTACAGGCTGTATTACAGATCTTCCAACTGAATACAGATCTTACTAAACAATGAATAGACTCTGCCTTCTGCATTACAGTAACACACACTTTTATGTATAACTTCAATATATATTAAGCTTAGGGACCTCTAGAATTGAAGTACTGATGGGGGTAAATAACTGCATGAATAAAAGTTGTTTTTTTTTTTTAATTGCCTCCAACACTGAGACAGAATTTGGCATAGCAATTCTGAAGTCTTAGATAGTTTTAAAGTTAGACTGTGTCAGTCTTGTTATAGCACCACGAATAAAGCAGTATTTGATAAATCCAAATAAAGCCGTTTGAGCCCAACAGTTCAGTGATAAACCCCTTGTGAGAATAAGTATACAACAACAACTTAATACAATGAGTTACTGTACAATGAACAGAGAAGTTAAAATTGAAGGTCACACATATTCACTATTTCAGCAGAGCCCAGAAGAGTGAGAGGAAACCACGTTCTAAAGTAAAGTGTACTTCTGGACCTCTTAGAACTAACAGAAACCAGACAACTCCACGCATTATCACTGTGTTTTGATTCTTCTCCCACCTCCTTTTGGCTTGCTGCAGCAAATTAGTGTGTCTCTTTACAATCTGAGGTAGAACTCCTTGCAGCAAGTAAGTCAATTTCAGATAAACCTAGCTGTGATTTTTTTGGAGAGAGGAAGAAAGTTGGAGTGGAAAGGAAATAATACCCGTGAAGACACTAAAGCTTAAGTTTAAATTTTTAAACATCCATAAATCTGTATTTTCAGGAAAATGCAGATTGAGACTGACCTTCTATTTAACTTGAGAAAATAATTCATATTTTAATACGAACCTAGAAACTAAATTAGCAAGCAGTGTTAATTCAAATCCGCAGAATGGATGACCCTTTTTTCTTTATTTAGCATAATAACATACCTTTAAGTGGATCATGCTCTGCTCTCATAATGTCAATAAGGGAGTTTTCCAAAGAGTGCATATTCAGACTGTCATACATTCTATTTCGATCCTAAAAGAGAACAAAATCCTTAGTAGTGGAATACAAATTCTATACTTTTTTTTTAACAGGAAATTTGATAGGAAGACATAAGTGCCAGCTAAAGACTGTATGCTCAGATACTCTGAAGATGGATAGCAATAAAAAACTTAAGGTATATTAATTTATTAACAGTAAGTTTAACAGCATCCAAATGTAAAACTAGAAATGCACTTCAAAGAACTCCTCTGTATATGCACTTTGATAGACTGTTTCTTTCAGAGGATCTGCTTTAATCAGTTCTAAAGATCCACAGCAGAGCTCAGTTGTTTAATGAAGGAGGCTAATGTCTCAATTTAACTTAATGCAGAAGTTAAATAGTGAGTAAGGTCCCAACCTTACTCAGGGAACTACAGGAGGAGATGGACAGCCACAAATGAAAGAAAGCATTTTCTTGGTGCTTCGCTAAGTATCTCTCCTAGGCACGCACGCCCCTGCTGAGACTGCTCTCCCTGGTTTCTGGGTCATTAACCTGAGACCCTTGGCATGTGAAGACATGGCTTACAAATGGTCAAAGCTAAATGGTTCAAGGTTGGAAAATTAAAGCTAAACTGTGAAAGAAAATGTCACAAAGCTTACTAAAAGATTATCGGCCTTACATAGAACATTTTTCTTTTTGCAAGTGCTAAGATTAATAAGAAAAGTTACCATAATACCTGACAAATATTTTCACTGAATAGAAGTTACTACAATAAATTATAAATATTTTCACCAATTTAATGTTTAACTCAGACATTTTCTCCTGCATTTTTAATGCCTCAAAACTGCAGAGATAGACAAAAAAAAGGATTACTTCAAACTTCCTTGGTCTTTCTGGAATACCTTCAGAGACTGAAAATAGTTTGCGTAAAACCTTAATCTCCTCTACTTGCAAGGCTTCTGGCTGGCCTGTATCACACTTAAGGCACGATTACAGGATTTTATTATTATCTCCTCTCTGGTTGCACTATGGTAACTCTGCGGAGTTACGAACACACCGCACCTATCTCATGACTGTTAAAATTCTTTAATGCTACAGCCAGTACATACATAATAGGATAGAAGGGTTCCGACCCACACTTCCCATGACAGTTCAACAGAGTTGAGATGAATTCAAACTATGCCCTTCAGTAAGAAGGGACTCTTCAATAATAGGGCTGAAAAAAAGCAAGCTTCGAAAGAAATGTTTTCTCTGAGTCAGAAACCATGATCTATGAAGAGCTCTGCAAAACCAGCCATGATCAAACTGAAATGTGACTTTCACCCTTCCTCGAAAGGTTAGTCAATGTGTCATAACATTAGAATGAAGGAGATGCTGTCTTTATAAGCTCTCTCTCCCCTCATGCAACTGCTACGAGTAATGGATTTTTGTAGCTATCACAGAACTAAGACAGTAGGATAAAAAGTCTACTATGTCTATTTGAATACTTTTTTTTTTTATTGAAACCTTAGGATAATTTCAATGATAATCTAAAAGAAAAAGAAAAAAATCACTACATTTCAGCCCCAGACTAAGTGCTACTGACAGTTTGAGGTGATTTGAGTACCAATGAGTCTCTTGTAGTATTTGAGTTCACAGCAACCTCATTTTGGGACTACTAGGCTTTCATTCAGTTCTCTGGTTGTCCTAAGCAGAAGCAGAATTAAGGTGAAATGACTCATCAGCTTTCATGTCCTTGCAGGTTTATTTTTCAATAGCAACCTATAAAAAGAAGCTGCTTACTACAGCAAACCTTATTTCAATGGAAGGTGTGAGCTGTGACAATGCTGCATCTAATCCCTACTGTCCCTCAGCAACAAGTGCTCAGAAGACAACACAGTTTTTAAGGAAGTCTTAAATTCAGCTGACTTCTGTACTTGTACTGTAGGCAGTAAATGCTCTTGCAAAACCCAGTGCTGAGTAAACAGAATGCACACTTCACTACCTTTGTAGCCCATGAGTTAAAAGAACTCGTATTTGTAAAACAGACGAAACAACACGTGAAACAGCTCATCTTCGGTACAGGCTCACTCAGGAAAATTCTCATTTTTTGATCATTGCTTTATATACTGAGATAGACGACCATCTGGTGGTGCCCAGTCGCAGAATAAGGCAACAGACATGAACTGGAAAACAAGAGGAAGCACTTCCATGCTGCACAGGTGACAGAGCACGGGCTGCCTAGAGGCTGCAGCATCTCCTCCTTAGGGGATCCCCAAATGCTGCCTGGATGTGGGCCTGGGAACCCAGCTCTGAGTGTCCCTGCTTGGGCAGGGGTTGGGCCAGGTCTGATGGATGCAGACATTGCTGCCAGCCTCAGACACTCTGTGACTATGTAAAGTGTCACTAGTGGTTGTACTTCAGCCTTGCTTTGGAGAAGCTTTTAAGCAAGGACTCTGATATCATTAATACCAGCTCACTTGCTTATAGATCCTGGAGAAAAGGAAAACTAAAGAACAGCAAGTTTGTGGCATGGTTTAATATAGCTTCACCTTCGCATCATTCCATTTTGCAACTTCTTTATTCCTAAATTGAAAGGTCTCGCGCTGCTGGAAGCAGAAGAAATAAGTTTCCCCCATTCACTTTATACTGCAGGCATTTCATTTCTCTGAAGCTAATAATAGTTATTTGAATTGTATTACTTTGTTTCTGGCAGTGAAAACATAATACAGCCATGCACTGTACAATATAAAAATGTTGTGAATGCGCTGAAGTAGAATTTAAATACAGGCAATACAGGCATTATACTCTGCTACCTCACTACTACCATCATGCTTGTCCTTGGGTAACATCTAGGTGGTAAACGCTTCAAACTTTTAAGATGTATTCCAGCTCAAAACAATCAACTATTTCATATAAAACAATGCTGTCTGAAATGCTACTATCTCAGAAGGAGCGAGATGTCCTTCAAGGAAAAAGTTACTTTCAAATCTTTGGGCAATTAAGGCTTTATAACGCTTAACTGCTACTTCACATTCCCCAAACACGTGTATTATATTTTTAAAGAACACAAGTATAATCTATGCAAATATGAAGCTTCCATTTCAAGGCAGAACTTAAAAGTATGTCAATAATGTAGGTCACATCCGCAACGGTTTTCTAGAAAGTTCTGCTGCAAAAAAATGCCTACAATGCTGCGAAGGGGAACAAAACTATTACAGCATGCTCAGCTCCATCAGAAAACTTGCACTGTGATTTTCATTAATCTCTGTGACAAGCATGAAAACTAATCTCCTGTACATATGAAAGTAGAACTACTTCCGTATTGTTTTAAAGGTCTTTCCCGGCTGTTTTTGAAGATAGATTACTTCTTATCCACCTTCTTGAAATAATGAAACTAGAAGATTTATTAATATAAAGGCACTGATACCTAACCTAACTGCATGTTAATACACATACACACATATTTCTAAGCTATCCTGACGAAGAAGTCTCTTTTTTTCCCCAGTGATGAGTTCCTGTAGAATATTTTGCACTTCCCTCACCTCTGTGGCATCAATCCTGCGCTAAGCAGCAAATAAACCGTGGCTGTGTCAGAAGGTCCATGCCTCAGTGGAATGTCACAGCATAACACTAGTTTTTCCTAGAGCTGATAAAGTTAACTACTCCCAAGCACTGCATATTCTCACTCTAGTTTCATCTCCTCGTAACTGTAGAAAGATTTGACCTACCTTTCCAATTATACAATCAAATCTGCGTGCACGCATGGAAGAACTGAAAAGGTGTTCTAAAGATTCAGAGATACGTTAGAAATCGTCACCTCAGAAGTTAAGACTCAGTAAACAAATTTACAGAAAAGTGGTACTTATTTTCTATATGTACAGAATTATGCAATATAGGGAAAGCATGAAGTATCCTATCCAGAGGATGCAGTCAGCCCTAGGACTCTCTCATAGTGTCATGCAAAACATAGATTTCAGAAGTACTCCCCTCAAACATCGAAATGTGGAATAAAAGGCAAGAAGTCGGCTTTCTCTGAAGAGCCACTTTCATCACTGAGCTGTTGAATAAATCATTTTTCTTAGTACAAAGTATTTAGGACTTTATATATATCCACACAATTTATGCAAAGACTATTCAGTTAGAGCATTTGCAGAGCCTCAGTGCAGTCACCTCTCAAAGCTTTATATTGTCACTTATACATAAAGTAAATACAGACGTGGTCAGAAACTATTAAATTACAAATACGATTTTGCTAATCCTTACCACAAACTCTAAAAATAGATGCTCATAGTTAAGCAGCTAAATACCTCTGAATTTCAGGCACATTTGTTAAAGTACTGATCTGTAAGAGATCCTGAGGTAAAAAATAGGAATTCTGACATCGGTCGTGAATTCAGTAAATGCTAATATCTTTACAATATGTTACTTTGCGTGTCCCTTCACATTCTGAATAAATGTAGCACTATCCGACAGGGCTAAAAACAACTTACAAGTCATAAAGCTGCTAGTCAGGTTAGAGTACAGCCTTGGCAGCTACAAGAGACTCTGTATCTTCGACCTTGATGATTTAAAAGCTCAATTAAAAAAAACCAACCAACCAACCTTCTTCTTTATCATTTCCCAAAGTGAAATTTAACACGCTTCCATTTTTATTTTTGCCTTAAAAATGATCTGAATAAAAATATGTTCTAAGACTAGAATGTAGCAGCTAATTTAGTAGTAAAGTACCCACAGATTAAAAAAGTAAATGAATGTAGTCTATTGCTCAGTGTTAACATTAGGAGTAATAATATAACAATTCAGTATAATACATACTTTAAGATGTTATCATTTACTAACATCCAAGCTTTGAGTCATTCTCTGTTTAGTGAGGACATACTATAATCATAAGCCCATTGCTGAATCTCTGAATATCATAAATGAGAAATCCAGTACTAAAACGTAAGACTTACTGCAGTTTTTGCTCTACAAAAAAAGGAAGGAGAAAGCTTTGAAACAGACACATGAAATTGCTTGGGTACTTTACAGTGTCATTAGTGGTAACAATGAACTGTAATGTCTTGTAGACATC